CGAATAGTAGTAGAAATAGAAGTAATCAATTGATCTATATAGCTACGTTTCCAGCTGTGTCTGCCCGTGCTCGTTTCTGATGAGGCCTCTCAACTAGAGCTATTTCTGTACGAGAAGTAAGGCCTGATAAATTACCACAGTCATGGTCATCATTCTGGTAGTGTACACTACACTGCTTTGCTTCCTTATAACACCAGCACCTCTTTATACTACAGTACCCCTTACATTAACAGGATATTCCAACCCGAGCAGTTGTAGAAGCCTCTCTAGCTGCAAGCCCTAGGCTTACTTCCTTAGTAGAAGTAGGAATTACTATATCACTCCATAGAGCTTGCTCTATAACTCCGAGTGATTTTGTAGGAATAAGGCGTTGTATAATACTAGAAGCAGTAAGAATCTGATACCTATGAGGGTAAGGCTCCTCTAGAATCCTTACAAATAGCCTATTACTATCAGTTGAAGTTCTATCCTCTCGAGGAACCTTAGCAGAGGCTATAGCTCCTATATCAAAGTGTTGAATATCGTGCGCCTGATAGCTGCATGTCAAGACGTCTTTCAGCTGCCCACGTTGTCATTGTAGAATCTAAACCCAGTGCTAATAATTTTGAGTAATGCTTCAATGTGCCCATATTTTTGGTCCATGTTGACATTGAAACGATCTCGGTTGATGTAATCGTCTGCAGCTGCCTGTATGTGATACCTGTCAGAAATTAGAGCTAAGACCTCTAATCTGCAGACAATAATTCATGCAATTGCCACCTCTGGAGTTTGGCTGGCTAATAGTAACCGTGTAGTTACTAAGCTACGGAATACCAAGAGCCATAGCTCCAGCTACTTTTGCAACGCACTCCGTGAATGCTCTTCCGCTGGATCCACCACTAGGTCCTTGCTCCCATGAGCGCAAATCAGCTCTTGCCGTGAAATTTTCAAGGCTACTAGTGGTGTCTCGCCTATAGAGATAGATTGCGTTCTTGTAGACTCATTAATATTGAAGCCCGCCGTAGTAAAAGTCAACAAGCCATGGCGTCTCTGAGGAGTATGTACCCGAGTCCAGTATAGCCCAAACTCATCAGTCAGAGCGTGACGACAATCATACTTGCTTGTCTGGTGCTTGAGACTTGGTAGGCGGCGTTATGAAGAGTAGCAACGTGGTATTTTTGAAACATCTTTGCGTCCATTGTGGAGGTGGGCATCCGCTCTAAGAGACGACCTTCGTCATCTTGATTCGTGGGTCTGTCCCCCGTTGCGTTCGGATGATGGTCGAGAGTCGTAAAGCAAATTTATGGGCAGCAGCCGTCACTTTGCCAGTGTAAAAGTTTACTGAGACAGACAAGGCTAGACCAGCTTTTGAGGCTCTTACACGAACAACGCGGAGTCGAACTCTTTCGATGCTCATTTTCTGAATCGTCTGACGTCACCTGAACAAAGCCGCATCAGATCACCAGACTCCTCTTCCCTTACAGGGTAGCAGGAAAGCGGAGGGGTGAGATGGTCCGTACCTAATGAAGGGTATGGTGTGCATGCAAGTATGCCATTTCTCCTAATACAGCTTTCAAAGCATGAATGACCTTGAAAGTGCATCCGTGTTTTTTGTGGAGACAAGAACAGAGACTAGGGTCTCCGGATCAGTATATGAAAAATGCTTGTGGATGCTAGGAGTGGTGATGCTGGGAGTGGTCATCGACAAAAAGTGACTGCAATACGACAAACGATTCAATACGACCATCTTTCATTTCGACTAACTATCCGCTTTAAGCCTGTCTCGACCAGACACAATCAACCATCGCGAGAATACTTGTTCTCTTAAATGAATCATGCCCTTGAATACTTTCATAAGCCACACAAAGACAAGATAACACTATCAGATGCATCCCCCGGATTGACGTCCCCACAATAGACCAGGTATCCATTTCCCACGTTTGCTGCAACCACTGCGGCCTGCGCTTGATCCACATATTCTGTGGGGAAGACAGACGATTGAGTCTTAGCGCCACTAACTGGAATGAAGACCTTTTCATGGGGTTGAGCGTTTTTGACGTGAAGCACCTTCATGCTATATGGCGCAGGAAGCGAGTCTGACGCGGCTCCCAAGGGAAGGGAGCAGGTGGGGTTAAGCTTGAAGTCGGACCTATGATAGTCGCCGTGCTTCCAAGGAATGCCAAAAGCCCTGTTGAAGAAATTGTCGAAGTCATCCATCCTCGTAAAGTTTGGGAAATGTAAACCAAAGATGACCAGGCCGCCATTACGAACGTATAACACCACTTTATCCAGCACTACTCTATTCTCCGTCTTCGTCAAGCCTTCGTCGGTGACCAGGATCGCTCTTGGGCTGCTCTCTTCAAGGTATTGAATCGCCTCACTTGCCACTTTGGCACGCCTCAATTGGGTGGATTCATTGAGTCTATTGAATAGGGACGAATACGATTCATCTAGAAATTCTCGAAACATAAGACTAAGAACAAAAATTACCGGGCGGTTCACAGACTCCATCGTGAGTAATGAGGTAGCAAGAGCGTCAAGAGGGTGAGGATGAAAGCAACGACCTTAGCATCTCGGTTATCCTCAGGTTTGTTACAAGACCGATCAGAACGTTTCTGGTTGGTTCGTTCAAGGCAGAGCCACATTGCAGTGCAGCAATTGTGTACCCGTATTGTACTGGCTTTTACGTCATCATCTGTCACACCAATGGCACCGCTACATGGGTATGAATTTTGCGCCTGGCCAAAGAAAGAACCAAAGCTCCTAGCAGCTGCGTTAACTACACGAATCCGTGGGAAAAGAACTATGATAAAATTCTTCGTGTTTCAGAGATGACGAAGAAAATGGGTCAGTTCATATCATCAAACCACCTAATAAGCCATACCGATCTTATATATGTTCCGGTCCAACCGCGAGTTTGGCCCATTACTGAATGGGCCAGCCCATTCGTGACCTAGCCGGCCCAACCACAAGTTTTGCGATTAACGATTGGGCTGGCCTATTCACCTATGGACCGGCCGAACCACAAGTAATTAGAAATAGGAGTAATTAATTAATCTATATCTACGCTTCCTGTGCTCGTTTCTAACGAGGGCATCATATTTTTAGTTAGGCAAGCCCATTCGCGAATAGGCCGGCCTAGTCGTAGAGACTCATATTCGTGGTTGGGCCGGCCCATTCGCGAATGGGCCAGCATATCCACGAATACGGTACATTCGCGGTTAGGCCGGAACATATCTTTTCGAGACGCGAATATAGCTTACAGCAGCCTCTGCATAACTTTTTCAGTCGGGTATTTACATTGAAATGTGCCGGTTTAAACATCTGTGCCGATCCCATGAGGCACCTCACACTGCGCCCCGCAAATACTCTAACTTAAACCCCAGATACTTCGGTCCCTCGGCAAACTCATCCATAACGGTCCAATGGAATGGCCTCCTCCTCGGATGACCCCAACGCGGCCCGTCCGCATCAACGGCCGAGGATAGCGTACCAAAGAGAAGAATCAGCACGTCAGACCCCAAGATTAACAAGTCGCTTCCTCGAACGGCTTATCTCGCGCGAAATCAAACCTTCGCAGTAGTCGTGGCAGGTGACTTGTATGTGGTTTATGACTGCACACCGCTTGCGACTCGGCCTGACGGGGGAAAGGCCGCCGCACCTCATTAATGCCTGGATTCTACAGGCTATGCTATTTCCGTAATATCTATGCAATCTACTACGCAAATCTGATATACAACTCAAACTTGATCTACGCGCATAACGTGCTACGCCACAGCATGCCCCGTTCTCCGCGGAGGACATTCTTCTTCCGCAACGCGTTGGTGGCGGGGTTATACGAGTAGCACTGCCTGCAGCTTCCCCCTTTTGTTCTCATAGCGCGACTGTGGGGCGCCGGGGCGCGGAGAAGATGGTCACCGTTAGACTTCCCTGGTTGATAGTTTTAGTTAGTGTCGCACGGGATATAGGGAAAGGTAGGTGACTTACCGTGTCAAGGAAGCTGAATATTTGGTGGCCCGTTGGTATGGCATCCATGTCTAGTGTTGGTCCAACGTATTTCCGTGTGAGGGTGTCGCGAGAGCAGAGTAAACCGCTGGAAGCGGTGTAGCTTGGGCGCCTTGCATGGTTCCCAAATACTAAGTTTTCGAGTTGTTCGATGGCTGTATTTCCTTGGAATCCAGCAAGCTCTGGCTAGATTTCTCGACTTCTGCTTCAAAAGTAAACAGAAGGCAGAACGGTGTAAAAAAGAGTAAAAAAGCCGGTCGTTAAAAAGACCAGAGGTGTGTGACATAGATCCGCCGCCATATCAAGAAGAGTAGAACGCCCAACTTCCCACCGATTACCAGTAAAAATGGTGGTGATTTGCACCAACACCACTGACACCAAGAATTCTAGGGATAATGGCATAAAAACGTTATATGTCAAGGGCCGAGCCGCTTCGGTCGCAAGTAGTGCAGGAAACACCCACAAAGCTTCCATCCTCAGGAGCATCCCATAATCATAGCTCTTAAGTTGGAACCACAAGCATTTCTAATGGTTTCACAACGAAACCATACACTTTTTGTGTAAAAGTTGTATCTTTCCAATTTAGTGTCCCGTTCAAGGGACAAGATATGCACCACCTGATGATTGGTTCCATCTTTGGTTCCTCTTCCGCGACCATCTCTAACCAGTCAATCGCACAGAGGTAATCGGTACCATCGAGTGCTTTTCCGTCAGAAGATAAATGGGCCTTTCGCAGCGACTGCTGGTTTTCGATCGCTTCACCGAAACAAAGCTCAAGCAGTAACATACCAAGACAGCGGAGAGTTTTGCGTGGATCTATGGGAAGAATCCCAGTAGTATTTGGCTCTTGGGAAACAGAATCGCCTGGCTTTGAGGCGACGAATTTATGACTGATATATGGTTCCTCTGCAAGTATATCAGGCCCTTGGTGGTAGAAGAAAATGTTTTTCTTTTCTAGTTTCTCAGCGAGCCAGGGAGTAGCGTGTAGTTGTAACAGGGAGGAGGCTACAATACTTGCTAACTTGTATCGCTTTTGTCTGCTCAGTTTCAAGTGGCCGTTGCTTGTGAGTAACTTTTCGAGGCTGATTTCCCCTAGACTCGGAGGGGCTTGCCGTGTATCTTTAATCCACCGCACTTCGTGCTCCTGATGCACGTTATCTGAGAGACAACCAAAGAATTCCACATCCGGATCAAGGCCTTTCATGGCCGAGCACAAGTCTTTGATCTTGATATTGACAAGGGGCTCCTCTTTAGTCAAAGGCGGCGCTGGTGGTGGTGGCGGCGGTGTGACTAGGCAGCTTTGTTGCGAGGCATCTAGACAAGGTTTCGCACCCTGGGCATTTCTAGGTTCTGTTGGCAGGTCGGGTACAAAACGAAGAGTTTTCTTGGGTTTGAATTTTGGCATTGATATCAATTTGCTAGAAAGTGTTAGTATCTGATTCCGAAAATATATATAAAGGTTTCCGCAAAATAACTTGCCTTGAGTGTTTATCTACCAAAGTTCCTGTTCCATCTAGAATCTCGCTCTTTGGAAATATGCTTCTCAAGCTAAAGCTAGATGAGACAGAAGAGGATGATGAACGCAGACCGGGCCGAACTAGAAGGGTCGGACTGCTGACATCAGGAGGCGATTTTGGCTGAAAGTGGGTCCTCAGTTGAGTTATATATGTCTCTTCAACTAGAACAGGCTGTGTACTCTCTGGTGTTGGGGTATCTTGTGAATCTTTGGCATAGATGAGTAATTTGCGCCTCGAATTTGCTGAAGTTGGTTCTCGTTGTGGCAGTGCTAAGTTTATGATAAACCTCGGCGGGCAATCGCTTGCTTGTCGTTTTTGCAATTGAAGGTTAGCCAAGTGGCTCACTTCGCAATTGCAGTTCCAGCTGTTTTTGATTACAGAGTGTAGAGTAGCTGCATGGCGTCTGATATTCTCAAACAATTCCCCCCAACTTGTACCGTTTGGAACAGGCTTCATGCCTTCAAAGGTGTCGTTGGTGCCGTCAAGGAGACGCAAGAGTCTCTCCAAATCCTTGATCTTCTTCTCGAGTGACTGGACGGTCCTTTTCCCATTCTCACTAAAACTAAGCTCGATTCTCTTTAACTGATATTTCCATTGGTTCTTCCCAGAAACCGCCCAATCGACCTATGAGTCTCGAGTTAGTTGTGTAGTCACTTAGGTGGCCTTGTACTAATACATACAGTTCCATCTTTTAAAGACATCATAGCCTGTAGATCTACCATGTCCTCATTCATTGTTCTTAGAATATCTGCCGCCACATTAGTACAGCAAAAATCCAATTGTAAAGAGAGAGATAAGGAGCTGTAGGCTGTCTCAGAAGCCTGTATACGACTACCAGGGCATCCTAAAACAAGAGAACAACTTTTAGTACGAGAATAAGACGTACCCATGCAAGCATCATGCGCGTTCCCGAGCCGCGACCTCAAGGCCTCAACAACGTCACTCCGGTGCCAGCCTTCATAATTCGCTATCGTTAGCAGCCTCTGCTTTTCTTCTGGCTCGAGTTGTACTGGGGCCAAAAGATTTATCAGCACCAGCCTGAACATTTGCTTCTGGGTATCAACGGCGGTGATGAACTCCCGGAAGACGAGTTTAAATAGTTTCCATCTACGCAATGGCTCAAATCCCTTCTTGTAATGCTCTCCGACGGAGATAATGAGGGGCAATCCTCCTAGGACCAGGCCGATGACCTCAACTCCAGACATCGCGAGGTTAAATTAGCCTACTTCTTGATAATTTAACGTATTCTTTATATTAAGGCTGAAGAGGCTGAAGAAGAGTTCGCCTCGATTATCGCGACACTGTATTTCTATCCCTGTCTGCATGCGCCTAATACCGCAGGTGTCACACCACCATTGGTTAAGCACGCGCGAGGCGCCTCATCTCTTCGAGTTTCTCTCAGCCTTGACAAAGGCTTCTTTGTGAATGCAAATCAAATTTATCTTATCATTCCACAATCCATACCTTCTACATGAGTTGGGGGACATACCCGCTTTCCGTCCAACAGAATCCTACGGGACACCTTTAGCGGATCAGTGATCTATACAACCTTCGAGACTAGCGCTGAATGCACTAGCTGGGAGCCTCTAAACTATTAAAAGGTACTAAAGGTAACCAGCTACCAAACTCGGATTTAAATAAGTGGTCTCTGCCAGGATGGTGGACCAAGATTCTCCTGCTGGCCCGTCCCATCCACCGGCGCCTAGTCCCATTTCCTCACAGGCACGGTACTGCCTGAAGCGTTTTGAAACGATATGCGATGAACTACAAAATCTTAAAGAAGAAATAGCTATTCAAAATGGATATAACCGGAACGTTGTACTCCTGACGATGCAAGATTCCTGTGCGAAGTTCAAGGCTTGGGGTACTTCCATCGCCGCGTTCCGAAACGTGCATGTTCCAACTTCTCTCGATTTCCGTCTCAGAGACGCCCTTGAGATTCGCAGCACGCTTTTGGGGGTATTGGAATATCTTGGAGAATATCTAGACGATGGTTAGTCACACTTGAAAAGACGATATTAGGTTTGACTGATAGGTTTTAGCATATGAGATCATGTTAGGAAACAGTCCCAACCAAGCCGATGACGAGTCCATTAGCAGCGATTCGGAGAATGAACCAGAACAAAACGCTAGCAGTAAGGCTCTAAACCCAGCTCAAGAAACCTCGTACCTTCAAGAACTATGCATGGCTATCAGTAATTCGAACGCGAGTCTGATGAAACTTTCCATACTCATCCGAAAATCATCAAATCGCGATGACTATCTCAAAGCAGCGTCTCGGTACAGCACTTGGAATTCAAGTCCGTTCATCAGCCACGTTAGAGAGAAGTACGGATCGGCGAAAGGAAGCAAGGAGTGGTTAGTCGAACGACTAGGGAAAGCTATCATGAGACGACGTCAATTCTTGACGTATAGAGAAGAACATCATGGGAAGCTGACCGGCGATTGGGGAGAAGACCTAGATCAAGTTATCGAAGAAAAAGGACCAGACACACCGAAGCTAGCAAAGACAGTTGCGTCAACAAAGGCGACCACTTTCATTGTTGATGGTAACTTTTCCAAAACGGAAGTTTCGGAAAATGAAGCTTCGGACGTTATGGGGGCTTCATTTGGGTCGCAGACCTCTTACGAAGCTACGGAATTCGAGGGGGATGGCACTGCCCCTACTAAACTTACAGTTCCCCCGCCTCCAAAATGGGCATTTCCGGATGTTCCTTTTGAATACGGGGAGCCTTTCCAATGCCCGTATTGCTATACAGAACAAGAAGTAAATAATAAGGCGGCATGGAAGTAAGACGCAAAAGTAAAGGTTTATGTTCGACTTACTGACACTGAAACAGGAAACATATATTCAGAGATCTCAAGCCATATGTGTGTACTTTCGCCGAATGTGCAATGAGGATGTATCGTAGCAGAAACGAGTGGTTCGCTCACGAAATGCAATGCCATAGTAAGATATCAGCTTTTATTATTTGATCGACATCATTTGGTGGAGTTGAAGTATGTCACCCAGACGTCTACTCAAGGATCTCTTTGTCGCTGCTCCTAAACTCTGGTTTTATTTTCTAATGCATTCGTAAAGGGCTAAAACTAACTCGCCATTCTTTTAGGGCGACAGTGGGTTTGCCAACACTGTCAGCACGCCGCATTTGCTTCTGCATCTGAATTTTCTTGCCATTTAGAAGTAACACACTCTAAAGTGTTAGAAAACACTCATCTCAAGGCCTTGATACTACAAAGCGAAGAACCTGTTGGCAAAATCAGGTCAAGCGCTTGTCCGCTTTGCGACGAATGGGAGGTAGACCTAAACAACCTAAACAACCTAAACCAGGACGCAAAGAGACAGCATTTACGTGGAGGGAAAGTTGTGGAACCATATGGGACCATTAAGCAATTTCGGAGACATCTTGGACGACACATGGAACAGCTAGCTCTGTTCGCTTTGCCAATTAAAGAAAGCGATGACTTAGAAGGTGACAGCGATGACCGAGAAGATGACAGCGAAGACGAGGCAGATGGTCATGGCCCCGAATCTTTTCACGGCGGAAGGGTAGTGCCCTATTTCTGCGACTATCAGAATTGCAATGACAGGGAAGGCTTTGATCGGAAAGATCACTGCCTCGAGCACTATCGAGAGTACCACAGCGAAGACCTCGTGAAGGATCAGTGGAGGAATCTCGGCCTGTTGCTCCAAAAGAGGGATATCATGTCGGTCTGGTGGAGATGCTCGAGATGCTTAAAGAAGAATCAAGCAGAGAGCGGGTGGAAGTGTGGCGGTTGCAGCCAGATGTGCGAGAAAGTGAGGATTATAGCAAGGGAGACGACCTTATCACCTGTGGAGTCGGAACTGAAGGCTAGACTGTTGAAATTACGGGCTGACATGTCGAAAAAGGAGGCTGAGGCTGCAGAGTCCAAAGAGGAAGCTAAACCGTTAACATCTGCGACATCGGAAAAAGTTATAGAAAAGATGGAAGCTATTATGTTGCACTACCGCACTGCGATCAAGCCAGCTTGTGATCGATTTATCTTCGCACCACAAGCAACAGACATTAAAAAGATGGATCTTGGGCACAAGATGCTATCTGAGAGACTAATGAATGAAGCGCTTATGAAAATTGATGGCATAGAGACCGAGGGAGACAGTGAAGTACGGCAGAGGAGGAAATCCTTCGTTCTGGAGCTGGATATTGCTTTGAATCAGTTGGATGAAGCAATGCTGATACGGAATGGTTCGATTAAAGAGGTTTCAAGAGATGGACAGGAGGGCGGGGATAACTCATCGAGTTTGAATCGCGGCAAGCCGACCACTGAGAATAAGGAGGGGGCCTTCAGCTTCGGGTCCGACGATGAGGAGACCAAAGCTCCGGAGCTGGAGCATAGGAGTTTGCAAGACAAATGGATCAAGCTCCCCAGGGATAGGAATAAGAAGCTTGGCGCTGTGTCCTCGTCCGATGATCCCCCCGCCGAAGAGTCTGTGGTCGTCCTGGAATCGGAACCGGTACCAGAACCGGTACCAGAACCGGTACCAGAACCGGAACCAAAGCCTCTTGAAGAGGACAGCTGGGGTGGCCCCTGGGGCTCGGCTACGAAGAAAAAGGGGAAGAAGGGGAAGAAGAGAAATTATCCTTCTGAACAGGGCGAAACTGCAAAAACGTCAGAACACCAGCACAGCCTCAACTCGCCTTCTAGTGCTCAAGCCGATGACAGTTCCATAATAGACAAAACTGAGGACGATAAGCATCAGGGGCGATATTCGATAGACCGATATGTGAAAGACCCAGATTCCAAGGAAGCTATAGAGCCGGCAGCGGAATCACCAGCAAAGGAAGTGCAGATTCCCCAGGAGACAGACTCGTTAGACCGAGATTTCAAAGAAGCTGTAGAGCCAGCAGCGGAGTCATCAGCCACGGAAGTGCAGATGCCTCAGGAGCCACCCATTTTACCCCTACGACCTCGAACCCCAACCACCTCGAGGGCTTGGATATGCAAAGGTTGCGACACAGTCAACCGATCTACAAATAACTGCGCCGCGTGCAGGTACCACAAAACTCAAAGATGGGTCAAGATGATCTTCTGTAATAACTGTGGTGATGGGCCGTATCGGGCTAATAACAACATTAGCTGCGCACAGTGTTCCCAGTTTTTCGATCAGAACTGTCAGATCAAGTGGGTGCCAGCAAAGTAGGTCGCAAGCGAAAAGGCGGGTTGAAGAAGAGAGGAAGGGCGTATTAAAACATCTCAGAGAGAGTAGAAGAACCAAGAAAACCCTGTCATAAACCCCATTTGGTTTATAGATGAACTAGGGCGGAAGTTCAGCTTCCCTTTTACCTAGGAAGTGACTTCATTATATGAAGGATTATTGATTAAATTAGCTAGGTAACTATTGCTGGTTGCGTTTGAACTCTTCCCAATTAGTTTCCTAGAGTTTACTGGTGCTGCCTGAATGTCAAGTCAAATATAAAATAATAGCCCACTCGAAACAATCACTGAACCGCAAAATTCATCTCCAGGACCCGTAATTGAATTCCTACGAGTCCTATCTCTACATCACCATCAAGAGTCTGTACAAAATCCCAGGCCGTACATATATGACATTCCCCCTCCACCCCGCTCTTCCCACAGCACACAACAATCACGCACGCTAAAATACAAGTCTCGTTAATGTAGTTACCCCTCCATCACATCCACACCCACCCTCACACCCTCTTCCTCTTCTCCACCGCCCCCTTCAACGCCCTCAATTTCTCCTCCGTAACCCTAATCGCAACATCCATTTCCCTCCCCCCCTCCAGCGGCGACACCTCCCTCTCCCTCTCCCCACCCCCCACTCCCCCAGCACCTCCCCCCCCCACTCCCCCCTTCCCAACCCTCTCCTCCAACCACTCCCAAAGCTCACTCTCCTCCCTCCTCCAAACCTCCTCATAAGCAATCATGCGTTCCGCACTCCCCCACCTCTCCACCCCCCTCGCCCCGCCCCTCTCACCAAACCCAAACCACGCCGCGACCAACAACCCCACCAGGAGGCCATACACCATATTCGCGCTCCCCATGGACCCGAACACATCCGCCACCGGCCCCAGCACGCCATGGAGAGGCTCCAGGAGTCCCCAGTCTGCTGTCTTGGCTGTGGGTTTAGGGGAGCGAGAGGGGGAGGGCGTGGTTTTAGTTGTGGATTTGCGGGTTTTGCGTCTTTTGCCGCCGGCAGCGGCGCCGGTGGTGCGGGCGGGGTGCGAGATGGCGGTGCGGAGGGCGGAGAGGATGTCGCGCGCGTAGGCGGTTTGGCCGTCGTTGGCGCCCTTTTCGATGGGGACTAGGGAAGGGGGGGTTAGTATTGTGTGTGTTTACTAGAGGGAAAAAAAGGGGCGGGGGACATACCTCGTAACCAACTCTTCCCAGTCCACTCAATCGTACAATTCATCTGCAGCCTCGTCCCGCCTCCCTCAGCCCACGAAAGACAGTACTTCGTCTTGGTGGTGAATACATTCCCGCTCGGTACATCCGGCGTCTGCGTCGATACCGTGATGCTAACGGCCTTCTCGAGATCCAGCGCGTCTAGCGTCTCGGTGATGACGCATTTTGTCTGACGTGGGCCGATCGAGCCGTTCAGGGGTTTGATGTATGAGAACGTGCGCGTCTTCGTGTCGTTCGTGAGACCGCGCTTATCCTCCATCGACAGCTCGGTGCACTTCTGATCCACCGTCAGCCAACGCGACATCCATGATGCGGATGCCGGGCCGAACATGAGGTTGTAGACCTTGCCTAGCGGCGCGGGGATAACCTCGTCCGCGAGGATTTTGTCGTAGTGCGTGTCCTGGTCCGAGCACTCCGTTGGGGCATGCGTTGCAGGACCAGGCGCGTCACTGCCAACTGGACTTCCCTCCTTTTTCTCAGCTCCGGAGCCATTGACAGCTCCAGAGGCCTTGCGAGGTACGGGCTTTTCAGGCGACCCTTCAGACTGCGCGAAGCTACCAGAGCGCGCGGAGAAACTGAGTGCGTCGTCACCATCGTCGTCCTCGTCGTAGACACCATCTTCCGTCGTATCAGACTCGGATCCAGAGCCACCGCTCACGCTCGCGCAGTCGTCTTTCTCGGTTTTATCCCCTCCACCGGGCTCGTCGATGCGGACCCCATTCAGAGAGGAGCGCAGGCTGGGGTGGCCGAGCTTCCAGATGTCGATTATGAGGTCGTAGGTGGAGTCGCGGCTCGTGAAGGAGGCGAAGATGTTCTTGCTGTGTAGGGTGGAGATCATGAGTCCGTTCTTGAAGACTAGAGCTGTGCTGCGCTTTTCGACGGAGACGATCTCGTCGAAGCTCATTACGAGGGTTGTCACCCATCCGAAGATGTTACTGCTGAAGCAGAGGTGGCCTTCGGAGACGTAGAGACGACCGTGTGCGAGAATCTCGCGCTGTAGAGCACAGCTGTAGTCTTCGATCAGGTAGTCATCGTCAGGAACGCTACGGAAGAGCTGATGGAAATCGCGGTTTCGCTTCTTGCTCGCCACGGCGAAACCAGTCACCTTCGGCGTTGCTGCTGCGCCTGTCGCCATTCCAGCTCCGAGGGTCGTCCCCGTCGCTGCAGAACTGCCGCGTTTCCGGCGTGTGGATTCCCGAAGGGCACTGCGGATGCTGTTGCTCCTGCCTATGCCTGTCCTTCCTTCGAACACGCTCCCGTTCTGTGGGCTGTGATCACCAGCAACACTAGGCTCAAAGGCAGGCCATGGCTTTGTACCCAGCCCCTCGCCATTCATCGGTGGTAGGTCCACCTTCTCCGCTGTGAGGAGGGGGCTGGCAGCGCCCGAACGTGCGGTTTCTTCTGGCCCCATTGTCGCTGCACGGCCCCTGTTCAACTGGTTCTCATTAAACTTCGCTGCTGTAGGAGTATTCGAAGCGCTAGTTGATTCGACAATTCCGAGATGGCTTAGACTGAGATCTCCCATGCCCAGCGTCTTCACAGCTGGCTCCTTAGCCTCCGAATCACTCCTTATCCTGTTGTCGTCTATAGATTCCACCTCAACGTCATCCATAGGTGTTGTGACAATCGTTTCCTGTGTATTGCTCCTTGTCCTCTGTTGTCCCGGTAGGGTAGTGTTTATGCTATTGGTCAAGGTGTTCGCTGCGTTCTGCGCCGCTGAGAAGACAGATGAGAAGAAGCCGGTCTGCTGTGTGTTCCCAGGGGTGACAGATCCGTTCTCCGGCGTTGGCGTGAGAGGTGCCGACGTGATATTCGACAGCTTGCTCGGCCCTATACTATTTCCGCTCGCTAATGATCCTGAGCGTATGCGTCTGTGTGATATCATGTTCCCCGACGGGGACGTCACCACATTCGGATTCGTCGAGATCGGCGAGCCGGAGAAGCGCGGTGAGGCAGTCTCGGTTGGTGTCGGGGGAGTATTGACTATAGCCGGCGCAGGCGCAGCATTCTCTATAGTTGTGGGAGGTGTGCTGGGTCGGCCATTCGTCTCTATCATGTATGGGACTTTCGGGTTCTTCAGTCGCTCAGGGGACGCTCGCACCTCTGGCGACTGTTGCGGCGATTGCCTGTCAGGAAAGATAGAACCCAGTCTTGCTGCGACGCTTCCCCGCCTGTTTATAATAGTGGTCGACTCCTTCTCCTTGCGCACTGGTGTGGAGGCTTTCGATTTCCGCTCCGGACTGGAGCTCGGACTGGGTGCCTGGCGCGGTGTGAATGCTTCTCTCAGTTTGCCTACTGGAGACGCTGACCGCTTCGACTTCAACTCGTGGGGAGCTTGTAGGGACGCCGTTGTGAGGACTGGTGTGGAGGCGGTCGTGAGGCGTGAAGGGCGGATGGCGGGCGCAGGGGATTTCGTAGGGGATGTGGTCGCACTCGATTGTCCGTCAGGAAGAGCGTTGTTAGGTATATTTGAAGATTTAACGAGAGGTGAGGAGGTCGTTAAGTAACCACTGTGTGACGGGTGCGACTTGAGCGGTGGTGCAACGAAGGACCTGTGGGAAGCAAGGAGCTGTCAGAAGCCGAAGGGTTGTATGAAGGCTGACGGGCCGATGCGCCAAGGAGACAAGTAAAAGAAAAACGGTGAAGCTTGAGCGAGTGTAGCTATGCAATTGCAGTACAAAAGAGAGTGATTGAATTTTAATATTGGGAAAATGTAAGTATAAAGGAATCTGTGGGGGAATTTGACATGAAGTTTGGGGAGTAGAAGTGTTGTTGTAGTTTGGGGGAGGGGGGTTGAGGTTGTGTCTGACATGGGCTGAGAGGTACGTGTGAGTGTCCGGGGTGGAGTGTGAGGTCGGCGCAATAGAACGCCTCGCTGTCTCGCTTCTGACGCGGCCAGCGGGCGGTCAGTGGATAACGAACGGCCACAACAGCCAGAACAGCTAGAACAGTGGATAAATAGCCACAGAACTGCAACTAGAACTGCAACTGTTGTGGGAAATCCACAAAGCAACCAGAGAAACTACTGTACTAACTTGTGCAGTAGCTTCAGTAGCTGCAGTTCAGTTACAGTAGCCATGAGCAACGTGGGATTGAAGCTCAAGTAACCCCAATGTCCCAATGCCCAATGCGTACCCCAAACCCGTATACGCTATACGCGTACAGAGCGAGCTGCATGTGTCCGTTCCTGTCCGTTCGTGTCTCCATTATGCCTCGGTCGTCGTGGCATTTGTAGCATAACACGAGTACAGTACCCGAGTATATATAAATATACGGCGCCGATATATATGAGAAAAGAAAATAGGGTGCACTCACGACTCTTCATCATCTTCCGACTCAAAGATCAACAGACTGGCACGATCGCCCTCAACGTCGTCCGTCCGCGCTGATCCCTCCCCCATCTCCTCCCTCTCAATATCCCTAGGCCTATCCTCCAACGTCCCTCTCTCCGCAACAGCCCTCCCCCTCGCCGCCTCTTCTGCCTCCCGTTGCTCCTTCTTGTGTCTCCGTCGCGAGCGTATCCGTCGCGGCAGCAGCTTGTCGATACCGTTTTTCTCGCGCAGCTCGCCGAGACTGTGCAGGCTGTCGGAGTTGCTGCTGTGGCGCCCCGTCGACGAGAAGGACGAAAGCAGTCCGCCGTTCGCTAGGTCGCCGTTGCCAATGCTGCTGCCGTCGCTGATGGTCGAGCGTGTGTCGGCAGTCTGGCTGCGTCGCGTGGTCGGGGGTGGGCCAGAGTTCATGGACATGCTGCTCGTTCGAGAGGTGTTCGCGCGGGAGGGAGATGGGTCGGTTTTTGAAGATGGCATTGTGCTGAGGTGAGCAATGCTCTGCTGTGCTGACGAATGTAGCTCGAAGCTCGTTGAGCCCGTATTGAAGTCGCAAAGTCGCAAAGTCGCAGGGGGGTGTTTGGCTAAAGTGCTGCTATGCCATGGGGAAGGCCAAGCAAGCCGTTGAGATGGCTCAGGTCGTGGGTGTTTTCTCCGTTCGATATCGCTGTAGGCTGGCTTGTCGATGGTTTGAAGTGATCGTTATACAGTTTCTTCGTATATACAGATATGTTTACAAGTTCAAGAGGTCTACAGAGAGGTTGGGAACAGATACGGGACAGAGCTCGAAATGATGGGATGGATGCCCCGGCTTAGACGGCTTAGCGGATGATTTAAAACTTGGATGGGGTACATCGTTCATGACCAAGAACTTCAACAGCTTCCAAGTATTTATTTATTTATTCTATTTTTTTGGATTTTCTAGGTAAAATACAGTAAAATATACAGAATTAATCCAGTGATCTGTATGAAATTAACCAGCTTAAATATCTTCAAAACCGCATCTATTTATCCTACAAACTGTCCATCTCAGAGCACTTAAACAGCTTAAACCCACGTGGATTCCCTGTCAAGCCCACCAACGTCATCCCCACACACTAAAACAACTCAGCCGCAGCCACAGCCTTCTCTTCAGCCTCGCCGGAACAGCTGCCTCCACATCACCTTACATCACCACCTCACCCACAGCCTCATTGTTCCAGACCATCTCTTTCCGGCACAACAACACCAAACAGAACACAAGTACACTACAACAACAGAACCAGCTTCACGCCCTACTACTCATCTGATAATGCCATCTTGATAGGCAAAAAACAACCCCACCACACTGCGCACAACCCACCACCGCCAACATGGAGTCCGCGCCCTTATCCCAGGTACCCCACCCCCCCAGGTGTCTCTCTCCCCAAAACCCAGCTAACTCCCTCCCCCCCAGGCCTACGACCACGCCCAAGCCGCCTCCATCGCAACCCACGCCTCCAACCACCCCGCCGCAATAACCGCCCACACCGCCGCCGCCACCTCCTTCGCCGCCGCCGCCACCACCACCACCAGCCCCGAAGCCCTGCGCACCCTCGCCCTCCTCGCAACCCACCACAGCACCCTCTCCTCCCTCCTCACAGCCCCAAACCCGCCCCCAACACTCACCGACGCCGATCTCTCCACCGGCTCTGACTCCCCCATCACCACCTCCGCCGCCGTCGCCGAGTTGCGCGCCAAATCCTCCTCCTCCTCCTCCGATGCCCCACAAACAACCGACGGACAACAACCCACCTCATCATCACGACGCACACCACCCACAAACTCCCTCCAACCCCCCCGCCGCATGCCCCCCCGCGAACTCTCCTCCTCAATAGCAAGCAACCTCGCCTCCGCGCGGGGCATCCGCACCGCTCACCCCCTCTCCCCAGGCCTAACAACCACCAACGCCCCCGGGGCCATCTCCGCGCGTCGGCGCACGCAGGACACCACACCCAGTTCCGGTCCCAGCTGGCTACCCCCAGTAAGCCATGACCAAATCGCACGCACCGACGCCGTCCCCTCACGAGCCGCGATGTCCACCCCCGCGGACGTCACACTCCCCGCATCAGACACAGATGAGGGATTCACCCGTTTCTACTCCACCTTCGAAGGCCTTCTCTCCAAACTTTCCGCCCCACTCGCTTTCGCCGGCCTCCCTCTCATAGCCGAAGAGCCCGCCGATCAACCCTCCAAACCACCCTCCCGCCCCTCCACCTCCGCATCAGCCAACCCGGATTTGTCAAAATACATATCCCGCGCCGCCCTGCGCGCCTCGGCCTCAAACCCAGGTGCAGCAGCGGATTCTTTCTACGTCGTTCCTACTACTGGTGGTACAGCGAGTTACGCATCAATCCTCTCCTTTGCTGAGAAAGAGAAGCGACGGCTTGCGGACCAACGCCCCGCTTCTTCGTTCGAGGATGATGATTTTGTTGATGCGCGCGAACATCCATCGCCGCCTTCTCCTACGAAATCCAGGTCTTTCGCTGCTGCGGTGTCGACCTCGCGATCTGGTGGGGGAAAATCAGCGAAGGAAGTTGATCGCGAGAGAGAGGAGTTAGGAATCGAGAATAAGAGTCTTAAAGCCTGCATCGACATGCTCTCCAAACGCCTCCACGCCTTCGAAGCCGCGGCACAGAGCTCGACGATCGCGTTGCATGAGAGTATGCGTTTCCTCAAACCGGCGGGGGCGGCGACGCCTGTGGGCCCGCTTGTTTCCGAGCAGACCCGTAAGCTGAAGGAGAAGGGGAATGAGATGACGGAGAATGATAAGAGGATTCTTACGGCGCGCGCGGAGGGGTTGGAGGCTAGGCTCGTGGCGGTGGAAGCGCAGTTGGCGGATGAGAAGAGGGCGAGGAGGGTGGTGGAGGCGGAGAATGAGAAGTTGAGGGGGGTGGTGGGACGGTATAGGGAGAGGTGGGAACGGTTGAAGGAGGGGGCTAAGAGTAGGAGGGATGGTGGGGGTGGGGGGAAGGATGGGAAAGATGGGAAAGATGGTGGTGGGGGGAAGGAGGGGAAGGAGGGGGGAAATGGTGGAGAGGGGAAACAGCCTGTGGATGGGGGGAGGTTTGTGGCTGGCTAGTGGGGGGAGGATTGTTATGTTTTTTTGTGGTGTTGGAGTAGGTTTTATGGGAGCGTTTGGCGTTTGGGGAAGGGGCGTAAGAGAGAGGGGATATGTATTACACTACACTATTATACGTGCACTGTGCGTTGTGGACGTAGTTATTAATCGAGTCTATCAATACCCAATTTTTTTCATCCCATCTACGTGATAAATATCTTCCTCTGTGGGTCACTAGAATCAGGACGGCGAGCTATGGATTTTTTTATCGTCGACGAATATCAAAGGGCGGATAGAGACCTTTTGTGATATATTCCTGACCGGATACGACGCAGCCGGTGCAAGGTCTGGTTATTCTATCGTCGTTGGTGTGTGTTGTGATGCCGTACTCACGTTTAAGATGTGAGGGGAGTCTTCATCCCGTCTGGTGATATTTTCATCTCATCTCACCTCGCACTCTCCACTTACCCCTCTGCATCTCCAAATGCATAAAGATCAAATGACATGAGTCCTCTCTTAGGTATCCCGAGTCAACTGCCGGATCCTAGGGTAAAGAAGGCTGCTGATCTAGGGAAGGAAGATCCTTCATCCCATCTTATCCGAATCAGATTCTGCCTAGAGCGTATCAATAACTTCTCGTCCTATTTCAGACGTGTCAAATCAAGTGCCGGATCTGGGGTGCAGAAGGTTGGAGATCAGACGGAAGGGGGTCATCCCATCTTATCCAGATGTGCTGGGGCGGACTAATCTTGGGATGATTCTGCCGGGTGTCGTCCCATATTTTACAGATGGTGGAGTGTTAGATTCTGCATCTAAAAGGATGGAGGTGTGGAATCTAGTGCTGACACTGTCTTCCTCAGATGTGTTAAATTCCGGGGTACAGAAGATTGGAGATCCGGGGGAAGGAGGTCGTTCCCAACTTATCCAGAATACCCAGATCAAATTCTGCATCCCAAGTCTCATCTCATCTTTTTAGATGCTTCTCCGTCGGATTCAGCGTCCCGGATTTCATCCCATCTTTCAGACGGTGTAGCGTTAGGTTCTGCGTCTAGATGTTGCAAATCCGCTATCTAGCGCTGACCTTGTCTTCCCCGGACGTGCTGAATCCTGGGGTACAGAACGTTGGAGATCCGGGGAAAGAGGTCATCGGATTTTATCCAAATGTATATTACGTCCGAAGTGTATCAATAGCTGCTCCTACTATCTCGGGCGTGCCGAGTTGAGTGCCGAATCTAGGGTATGCTAGTTTAAAGGTCCTCCATCCTCTACTCATCCCATCTCGCCCACACGACAAAATCTTAACACCCCCCATCCTGGCCATGACACCCTTTTCTCTCTTACAACACTTGGAACTTGAGCTGACGATTGCCAGGGTTATCCAAGTGTACGATGTTAGGCAAATCATCAGATAGGCATTCTCGCTCCGTACGGAACTTTGGACTGGGAGGGAAGACCGCTGTTGGGATGCTGCATCCGCGAAATCCAGAGGGGACGATCCGGATATGAGCGACCACTATTGGGACGGGGTACTTCAAAAGGGATGTTCTAGAAGAAGTTCTGGGAAGGGAGAAGGTTTCACATCGCATGTCAGACAGACGGTAGGCACAGCACAAAAATAGGGGAAGTGAACCGATGGCGCCACCATACACGCCACGCACCACAGTTCGTCGCAACGCACATCACCACCCCTCGCAGCCATCTACCGCGCACGCCCCCTACCACCACGCTGGCCAGCCCTCACCACATGTTCGCCACAGCGCCGATCATCGCCATCAACAAAAGTGATTGCGATCATCCAGGCCCAGACGCCGCTGATCGCAGGCCGCCCAGCCTAGGGGAAATTAAGCACTCCGCAGCGCTGTACTCCGTGTGTATTTTTGGTCGATAGAAACGTGCGGACTGTGTGGGAGGTGCGTGGGCGCTGATCGGGGTGCGCTATTGTGGGGTGTATTGTTGTGCGCTGTGGGGGGTTTTTTTTTGCTTTGGGGGCAGATTTGGGGGGGTGTCAGCTTCAAACTAGGGAGTGTCATGCTAAGATTCTGTGTATCTTAGGAGGGCGATGGGGGGGTGCTTTGTGGCGGCGGGTTCATGGCAGCAATATGATCGATCATATCGTCGATCTTGACATTGGCATTCAGCCGTGTCAGAGTCGATATGGGAAAGGATGGATATTAAAACCGACATCAGAAGCCCCTAAGAACTTAAGAACCACGGCGGCTCGCCTAGTTGGTCTTAGTACGGAGTAAGTGGAGTTCTAACATCGAACATGACAAATTTGACGTGCCGACGACCCTGTTCCTCTCCAGCAAAACATGGGAGTTTCGATAATTGTTGGGTAAGATTGTACCTAGAATTACTGCTTATTATTGCTGTCTTGCTGTCCTCGTACTTACTCGTACTGCGAATTTTGTAGGGGTCTTGTCACAACTTTACAGCTTTACAGTATGGAGGGTGAAGTTAATCTTATATGCGACATTCTCGGTGGTCCTGGCCCCGTTGCCGATGTCGCCAATCCCCTCCTGATTGGCCAAGCGACAACGACATCTCGCTATCCCAGACGACGATCAGGGACAACGAGTCAACCTCAAACATCAGCGATGGACCAACAAGGGCCAAAGAGGGCCGTTCGCCAGAACTGAGACTGACGGATGAAAAAAAGTGTGCTACAGACTCGAGATCTTGTGCCCTCATGAATGTGAGAGAAGTTCATACCTGATCCCGTCCGCGATGCGACGGCAAGGCTGATCTTGGTATGGCTTCGTCTTCTCCAGATGCCGCTCTTCATCCGGCACTTGAGGAGAGGGGCTTCGGTATTCAAAAAGCATGCCGGCTGAGATGGCTAAGTTGAGGAGAGCAAGAGATATAGATATGGCGTCTTCTCCGGTCGCCCCTTCCTTTCCACGGATTCAAATTCAAATTTCTTTCCAATCTTAGATTCGTTCTACATCTCACGTCGCTTGCCGTCCTGCAGTCCTTCATTCCTTCCAAGGTTCATTCATTCGTTCCCAGATTAACCTGTCACTCGTTGGTGTCCTCACCACAGTCTGTACCTTTCCTTATGCTTTGCATCTAGCCCCCCGCCAGTGTATCATTCCCGCAGCCCCTCCCCAGCGTTTCAACCTCCACACACCACAACCCCAGCACGAACGCCCAATCGCACCACCATCAATCCCCACCGGACAGCAGGCATGGCCCATGGCATCCTCATTCGCAGCGGGTCCGCCGCGCACCTCGTGCCTTTCATACCCACCAGGCGAGACACTAGCGCAACGGCTCTCACTTCCCACCCTCCATCCTCCTCCCGCATAAACATCTCCCGTCCCCACAAGCCCGCCTTCGCGCGCGCTGCCAACTACTTCACCAGGACGCCGCCCGATCGCCCTCGCACCTCCTCCGGCCCCAATAAACAAACTATCATCCATCTCGGGCCCGCGAAGCAGCAGCAGAAGCAGCAGCAGCATCGCCGCAGCGCCAGCGAAGACTCTCAGCTCCCCGCCAACGCATCATACTTCGCCAATCGCGCCCTCCCGCCTACTCCTCCAGACGAGACCACAGCGATCGCGGAGGCGCGCAGGCGCGAGTTCGAGAAATACGGATACGCCTCTCTTCCAGATACGCCCACCTCGGTCATGAGCGCCCTCCAGAGAGTCATCACGGATGAGATGCCCATTGGCATGGCTCTAGGCTCACCCAGCCAGGCGCCGCAATACCAGTCATCCCCCCGTGCACATCACCTCACAAACGTCCGCTTTGCGCCGCCATCATCAGCGTCGCAGCCTTCCCTCGCATCCGCCACGACGTCGACTAGCAGGGCTGAGTCGCCCGTTGCCACCCCACCACCGGCGCAGCGTCAGAAGGGGAAATGGAAGCTCTTCGGCGGACTGTTCAGGAAACCACAGCCGCAGGCGCAAGAGGCGTTCTATAAGCTAGAGCCGGAAGCGGCGCAAGAGACTGACCCAGAACCAGATTGGTTGCACTTCCCCGAGCCGCCGGCGGCGATGGAGGCGCAGCGCGGATGGGGAAGGACGAAGTCGGAGAGGCGGCCGCAAACCGCGAAACCGAGGTTAGCACGTTCGGCAACAGCACCAGTTGATGGGCCGGATGTTAGTACGCCTCCGAGGGAGACGAGGCGGTTGGAGAAGAGGGAGAGGGTTCCTGTTGATACGCCGATGCAAACTCATGTGGAAGACGAGTGGGCGGCCATGACGCCGAAGCCAGAGAGGTCGTTACTAGCGGTTGAAATCCCAACGACAGAGTTGGAGCGGTATAGCGTCATGTTCTCCTCGCTTCTGGACAAGAAGAACGGCACGCAGCCCTCGACGTCAGGTCTCCTAGCGCGAAGGCAGGCAACGCTCGATCGTCTAAAGAGTGTTAACGAGACGATCGCAGAGCTTGTGAGTCTACTTCCTCTAGTCGCTAGCGCCCATCTAACGTAAAGCAGGAACGCACCGAGCAGCGCCTCGACGCACAAAAACCCACTCGTCCTCGCCGTGCCACCTCGCCGAACCCACAGTACTCCCCGCGCCACTCACCGCGCCACTCCCCAGGTCTCTCGCAATCCCCACGCCACTCTCCATCCTTCTCGCTCTTCCCCAACGGTGCAACTCTGGCCACTCACCCTTCACAACCAAACCTCTCTCCCACCCTCACCCGGCACCCAACATTTAACCCACCAAGCCCTACCAAACCATCTCACCCCCACCGCCTAGCACCCAACCGACTCACCCGCTCCAACACCTCCCCAGCAGTCCTCACCCCACTTCAAGAATCATTCACTCCCTCACTTCCCCAGCCACGACGCCACGCCACCGACTCAGAAACACATACCATCGTTCTCGTCGGCACACCACCCTCTCACGCCCCCCCTCTTCCATCCTCACAATCCGCCCTCCCCGCAAACCCTTATCCCCGACACCAAGCAGAAACGCCCACAACCCCCTGGACAGACGGCGCCACCCTCCTCTCACCCCTCTCCACCGCCTCCCTCCCCGCCACCCCGGCCGTCCACCTCAACGCTCGTCCCCCGCCTCAAACAGAGCCGGAATGGGAAATGGTCCCCCCTCCCACCACGCAACACGAAACCCGCGACCGCAGCCGTGATCGCTACCCTAGACGCTACGCCTCCCCTGGCTCGAGCGCAGGTAGCGGGAGCTCGGGTCGTGGATCCGAGTCTGCGGGGACGCAGGGGAGTGTGTCTAGCGCTTCGAGTGCGGAGGCTGAAAGTCCTATTAAGGCTCCTGCTTTTGCTATCGCGCCTGCGCCGACGGGGATAAGGAGGAAGCCGAGTAAACCTATCATGCCGATTCCTACATCGCACGCTATGCCATCACCGCAGCCTCATGCACAAGCGCAGCCTCATGCACAAGGATACGTACACCCGCAGCAGCAGCAACAGCAGCATACCCCGCGCCGTCCTGCACCTCCGCCGCTAACGACTATGTCCTCAGGCTCGGGCAACGTCCAACGCGCGGAACAGGTCCCACATGTAAAAGTGAAGGGCAGCGTGGCGGTCGCGCGGCAGATGTCGCTTGCGAGACAGCGCGAGCGCGAGGAGGCCGAGGCGGCGACGGGGGGAGGGATGGGCGTTGGTGTCGCGAGGCAGATGTCGGTTAGTCGTGCGAGGATCACGACTACGGTTGGGGCTGCGCCTACGGGTGTGAGGCGGACGAGGACGAGGGAGGGACATGGAGAGGGTGGTGGGGAGAGAGAGAGGGAGAGGGGACAGGAAAGAGTTGTTGGTGATGCTGGGGGGGACGGAGAGAGGGTGGTAGGGGGGGAGAAGATTGTGGTTAGGAATCGGGCGAGGACTGCGCAGAGGGTTGTGGGAGTGGAGGGGGGTGCGAGGAAGAGCGAGTACGGGGTGCTTGTTGGATAGGGGGTTAGATTTGGTAAATGGAAATGGAAATGGGGGGTGGATGGTGTTTGGATTCGGAGTGGATATTATTAATATACCCAAGTAAATATTTATAACATTTAAAAATTAACAGGATTAATTTCAGTGTTCGGCGGATACGTATCCGGGTAGTATCCGTGAACCTCACGGGTAGGGTATATACCCGGCGACGATCTG